CTCAATTCATGCAGTGGTTGCGTGCTTGTAGGCCATCTAGATTGCTAGAAATGAGAGAGTCTTCAAAGGTGTCATCCCCAGGACAGCTGTAACTTCAGCAAATGCGGTTAGGGACTTCAATTTCTGGACTACTCCTCCCCTTGTCCAATCGGTCCACGGATCCCATTCCCATCACATATCTGACCATTCTACACTTAGTCTACCGCCAAGTTCTTCCCAATGGGAAGTTCACAGGTGGCGGCATATGGGGTCATCATTAAAAACCCCCGTGGGCAAGTTGTGGATGGTAGTGCTGGGACCTTTTTCTGTTCTTCAGCGATAGTTGCGGAAGCTAAAACCTTGTTGACTGCTGTGAGAATGGCAGCCTCCCTTCACGGTCCTGCTTCAATCTTCTTGGACTGCAAAGTGCTTGTCGACATTATTCAGGATCCGCAAAAAGTTGGTCCCTGGCAAGTTAGAGCATGGATTCAAAGGATTCGCTTTCTCCTTCAGACGCATATCAGATTGAGTATCTTCTTCACGCCAAGATCTACTAACAAAAGTGAAGATTGGGTGGCAAAGGAAGCGGTAAATGGATCTCTCCCTCAAGAATGGATCCAAGTGCTTGACTTTTTAAATCCGATCTTGTAATTCGGTTATGCTTGTACTCCTATCGTTGATTTGAATGAAAATTACCTATTGTAAAAATAAAAAAATGGTATTCAATATTCATCCACATAAGAGCCTTCAGTTAAAGGGTTACTATCGATTGCCATTTTAATTTATCGACATTCATGTATCTAATTCCATATAAAAAAATATTAATACATCTAATTATAGTATTTCTAAATCAAACATGATCTCTTTATATGGGAAAAAGTTTTGAATCCAGTTTCATATTTTCCTTCATCTCCTTCAATCTCGATTAAATCTCAGTAATGGTTTTATTAGTTGAGGTCAAGCTCCATCTGCTGCAGATTCCTCAGTAACCCATTGGATGGAGTTATGAGAGACAAATAAGATCAATAAGTTGTGCTAGAAACAGTAATTTAGAACCAAGGCTGGAGAGGATACACCCAATGTCTACTTCCTTTTTGTTAAAAACGGGTAAAATACCTCGGGTGCCACTTAAGTTTGAGAATTGGGGTAGGCATACCACTTAAATTAGAATAGGGCTTCGGGTACCATTAATGTCGCCAAATTGTGCATCCGTCTACTTTTCCATCCAACCCAAACTTTTAATTACTTTTTGATACCCAAAACTTTTAAAAACATCCAAAACTATATCTCAACAAGTTTTATCTAATATAATAATTAGAAAACCTTTTAAACATATTATTACTAGAATGACTAATCAAAATTTGTCAATAAAATAGATAAATTAGTAAAAATAATAAACGAATATCAAGAAGAATAAATATACTAGAATATAAAAATAAATATTTAAAATAAATATTAGAATATCTATTTAAACCCCCTAATTCAATTAGAAGCACCATTAAAAATAGTTACAATAGAACCTAATCGATCATCAATACATCAAAATCAAAGAAGGATAAATGGAACACAATCAGAAAGAATTAAACATATTCCACTAATTGAAAAAGTTTAGAACGAAAAGAGATGAAAAGTAACCAAATAATAAATAAAATATAAAAGCTACTACATTCAGTAAATAACATAGAAAATAAAATATGACTATAAAAGCTACAACATTGTTTAGTTACAACATTAATGGAATAATTTAATTATTAGAACACATAATGATAATTGAAAATAATTATTATGATAATAGATTCTAAATTTTATTCAAAAATTGGTTTGGTATCAAGTATTCAAAGGAGGATTCTAACTAAACAATAAAAAATAATGTTTTTCATAAGTCCAAATAATTTTTTTACAATAAGAAAATTAGAAGGACCAATTATAATGGAATATTTCAAGAATATTCATTCAATTTTAACGGAATGCACTTAACAGTAAACTTAAGTGGTATCGTGTGCACATATAATAGAGTTTAGTAATACCTGACGTCCTATTCAAACTTAAATGATATGTCTACCTCAATTCTCAAATTTAAGTGGCACCAGAAATATTTTATCCATTCAAAACATGACCAAAGCCCAACTAATTTGCTTCTAAAGATATTGCAGCCGGATTAACTTAGCAGAATTTGCCAAAGATAACAATAGAAACAATATTGCAGCATCCCAAGCCTCACTAAATGGCTCGTGGGTCTAATGGAAAGGAACAAAAGACCACAATTAGTGTTAGTAAATATAAAATACCAATTCAAAGTGGAAGACATAGGAATTGCAGAGGAAGTAGGGAATAACCTTATCAAAATCCTCATAGTTATAGTTAATTCATGGCTGAAGCTATGGTGTTGATCAATTTCCTTGTGCGACAACTGGCGATAGAGATCTATAACTTCTTATTTGGGATATGGAATGTTTAGCTCCTCACAGGATATCCAATCATGATCTCGGCTTATATTTTTACAGTTTCGTTTGCATTGTAGTTGCCAATTAATTTATGGCAGAAGCTAATTGAGCACAACTGCTACTAATTTGAGAGAGAGAGAGGATTAGGGCTGCAAATGAGCCAAGCCGCTCGCGAGCAACTCGGCGTTCGAATCGAAAAAAACTCGTTCGACACTCGACTCGTTGTTTAACAAGCCGGCTCGCGAGCCGACTCGTTAGTAAACGAGCCAAGCTTGAGCTAGGCCATGCTCGGCTTGATAAGCTCGTGAGCTAGCTTGACTCGGTGGCTTGTTGAGCTAAGCTCACGAGCTGGCTTGTTTAAAGCTCGTGGAAGGATTAATTACTCTTCTAAACATGAAAATTATCTTGTTAATAAGGATGTGTATGGAAGTTAGATGTTATTTTTAGTTTCTAGTGTTCTTTTTATCATTTTTAATTTCTAATGTTCTTATTTGTACACATTTTTCAGCAAGAATGGTTTCAAATCGAGCTTATTTTGAGCCGAACTTGTACTTAGCTTGACAAGATGTGTTAATGAGCATTTACCGAGCTCTATCGAGCCGAGCTCGAGCTGGATTATTTTTAATCGAGTCGAGCTCGAGCTCGAGCTGGATGATCAAAATTCGAGTTCGAGCCGAGCTCGAGCTAAAAAATTTATAAACGAGCCGAGCTCAAGCTAAGCAAAAACTCGACTCGACTCGGCTCGTTTGCAGCCATAGAGAGGATCCACTGACTGGGAGAGGGGAGGAGCCACGAACAACAGGTTAAATCCTAACCTCAATAACAATAACTCCGCAGCAGCTGTTAAGTTAAAAAATTTCCAATTAGTCGCCGGTAGGGCTGGGCATGCGGGCGGATCATCCGCGGGTTTGGGCCGACCCACCCGCATTTGACCTAAATTTCGTTAAGTGGGTGGATCTATGGGTGGGTGACGGGTTGCGCTGGGAGCCATCCGCCGGGTGGTGGGTGGGTTGTGGGTGGGTGCGCGGGTGACCCGCTCAACCCAACAGCGAAGAGATCAAAGTCGGCGGCGCTAGAGAGGGGAGAGTGGAGACGTTAGACATAAACTAGGACTGCTCCTGGAGTTTGAACCTCAAATCCAACCTTCCAAATAGCGATCCTCTCTTCTTCCCTTTATTTTTTTTCTCTAATTCTTGTGCCTAGATCACCGCTCTTTCCTTTGTGGAATTTTTTTCTTAGTTCCTTGCACCTGATAATCATCTCAATCTGTAGAAAACTCTTTCATAATAGAATTTCTATCCAATTTAAGAACCAATTCGACATTTTTCGCCCTATTTCATCTTCTTGTTTCCCCCGATAACTCTCTTCACCTATTATCATGTCAAGTTGACTCCTTTATATTATATACATTGTGATGTGGGTGAACCCACAAACCCACCCGAATCATCCACCATCCGCCCGACCCAACCCGAGACTAAATGTGGGTGGGTGGTGGGTTAAAAATTATCAATCCATTTAAGCGCGGGTGGGTGCATTTTATGGTCAAAATCCACCCGACCCACCCAATGCCCACCCCTAGTCGCCGGTAAGGGAATTGAAGGGGCGACAACGAGGTTGCTGGCGGGTTCGGCGGCGGTGTCGATGCAGAGGGGATTTGCGATGACGTTATTGCAGATGAGAAATTAATACGGAAGAGACAACAGACTCAACAAAGGCATTTTTGAGAGTGGGATTGAACTTGGAAGAAAGTCAAGAGAGAAGAGCGGGGACTAGATCAGGTCAGTATCCTTTTTATTAGTAATTCTCAGTAATTCAATAATCAGTTCTCACGTGTCAACATTTTCCTTTTATTTAAATTAAACACGGAGGAACACTAAGGTTAATTGCACCCCTATTTAATGTTGACACTCTGACGCTGACTTTTTAACCAAACGCGGATCTCACTCCCCCACCCCATACAGGTTCTCCTTTCTCTCACTCTTTGTTTTATTATTAAAAGAAAAAATATATTATTTCTTCTCTCTCCAATCTACAACAAAAACGAATCTAACCATCCTAGCTATCTCTGTTATAATTTCAACCCAAATTGAATGATGATTTTTTCATTAAATAATTCAGTGCTAAAGATTGTAATTACAATTATAAATATGATTATCACTTTCTACTATCATGGTAAAAAATGGTAAAATATGTTGAAGAAAATTACAAATCTAACTACAATACAATACCACATGGTAAAACGTGGTAAAATATGGTAAAATATAATGAAGAAAATTACAAATCTAACTACCGTACAATACCACATGGTATAACGTGGTAAAACATGCTACAGAAATTTACAAATCTAATTACCATACCTTAGCATATGGTATAACATGCTAAAATAAAATTACAAATCCAACTACCACCACATGGTATAACTTGGTAAACCACGCTACAGAAAATTATAAATCTAACTAGCATACAATACCACCATGGTAAATCGAAGGACCAAAAATTAATTATAATTACCATATAATACCACATGGTATGAGAAGGTAAAACCATATAAATCTAATTACAACCCTCTACGACCATAGTAAAACATGATATTCATAAAAATACATTTCGTTACCACACATTACCATATGGTATACTGTGGTACTATTAGTGAGATATCTCTATCTAGACCATGAATTAAATCGAGTTTGGGGTATGATACTATACCCTAACCTCTAATGGATAAACCCGAGGCACCGATTTTCTAAACCCCAACTCGAAGTTTGATTTAATAAAAAATAAAAATTGACCGTTGAGATCGGCCGGAGCTCATCTAAGTACATCTAACGGCTAGATCACCTGACGTATACTATACGCCTGACGTACATCAGTCATCACCATATATATATGTATGACTTTCTTCACTTTTCTCTCTCTCTTCATTGTCTTCTAACTCTTCTTTCTCGGAACGGGTGTCGATTACCACCCACTACCACCATGATAAAACTCGTGACTATAAAAATACATTTAGTTAGAACACATTACCATATGGTATAGTGTGGTAATATCGATATATATTATCTCAAATAAGGGAAAAAACAGAAGGAGGAAGAGAAGTAAAAAAACTTGTCTTCTGTCTCCTCTCATTTACTCATCCGCAATCAAGAACACCAAATGCAAAAAAAAAAAAAAAAGAGGAGGAAGATCGGAATTGAAAATTCACAAACAAATACTAAAACATAAAAGATACAACTCGACTCACCTCGATTTGTCCCATCTTTGACAATATAGAGCGTCATCAATTTTGAGGCCGAGAAAAGAAAGAACAGAAGGAAGGAGCAACTTGAGAGAAGAAGGATTTGGAGCGTCACCGAATTTGAGGTGGGAGGCGTCACCGAATTTGAGCGTCACCGAATTTGGAGCGTCACCAAAAAATTGAAGAACAAGAGAAGAAAAAAGATTTAGATATGGAAAAAGGAGTTTGGAAGAGAGAAAGAGAGAAGTCTGTTTTTCTCTTTCCTCCATTAAAAGACAACATATAAATGTTGGATTTTTTTTTAAATCGGACAAAAATGCCCCTCTCCACTCCACGTGCAGCCCAGCCACAAGATAATTCCACCCCTAGATCTACGGTCCCGGTTTAGTTACTGACAGATCAGTAACCATTGGTTACTGACTCTATCCTATGCCGGAATAGCGGATCCAATTTGGGAGAGATTGGATTAGGGAACCAGCCCTGTTCGTCACACACACACACACAGAGAGAGAGAGAGAGAGAGAGAGAGAGAGAGAGGATGAATTTACTGGTAGAGGCTTCCGATATGTGCGGGTTATGCAGGAGCCGCTTACGTGGCCAAATTTTTTTGGTCACATTGCCTTATAATTATTTGTAAATTTGTAGATGAGGGAGGAGATAGGTCCATAACACTTATGATAATAATTATTGTCCAAATAATACTAGTGAGTAGCCAATAAGAAGCTAAACTTTTGATTTTAGTAAGTTGGCTATTTTTAGTTAGTGTAAACTAATGCTTCAGAGAATTTGTGATCTGGACGTTTGATATATAATATTTCTGTTTTGCTTTAAAAAATTATAATATGTTCTGTTTTTCTAATATGTTTTATGTAAATCGATTGTCTGCTTATTCTGCTTTATTAAAAAATTATAATATGTTCTGTTTTTCTAATATGTTTTATGTAAATCGATTGTCTGCTTATTCTGCTTGATTCCGATTGATTAATATATAGAAATTGCATCCGGTCGAACACACTTATAGGTTACATGGGCTTGGAGAAACATAAAGGGGCTCATCAGTCTGCTTTATACATTGAGGGGACGGTATAAACCAACCTTGTCAACCCGCGGGTTGACCCAGACCCGGTCGAGTTAGTGAGTTAAGGGGTCACTCATTTTAGCTCGTTTTAGCCCAAAAATATGAAAAGAGTCATTATATTGCACTTATCCTGATAAAGTATATCAAATCTCATCTAAACATCACACCAAAGTAACATGTCGTACTTAGATCCAACATATAGTGAAAATTCACACACAGTTATACAACATCAATATTCAAATGTTCAACTAAGGATTCCAAAGATTGAGTTAGGCGAAAAGAAAAATCGGAAAATAGGTGCATTTCGCAAACAAACAAAAAATGACACAATTTGACCTCCAACCTGATACCTTGTAGCGGTCGACCCGACGAGTGCGTGGGACCCATTTTTTTCATCGGGTCAGGGTCAACCCGCGGGTTGACAACCTTAGTATAAACTAACATAGAAATCGATTGTATTCCGGTAGAGAACCATATAACTTGTGAGACTGACATAACGCGGTTTAAAACGATTTGACAATGAGGATTAATGACTATTAATCATTAGATCCAACATTAAAAACTAGCATTCTCAATTCTCCCACCACAATTTCCACTGAAAAGAAACTAATCCACTTCATACATCTCGACAAATCCAAAATCTGCATGCCACATAGTTTTCTTATTGCAAAAGAAGAGAAGAAGGGGGGAAAAAAGCATCTCTACTTCTTCTACTTGAGCCACTGATAACACTGCTGAACACCATAGCTGCTCGCACACGGCCCGGTCTCCTTGATGATCCATTGGCACCACCTAGGCGGCCGGCACAGGTGTTCGTCCCGCTGTTGATCGTAGATATCGAACCAGCGCGGCCCTCCGACTCCCCAATCCATGCTGCAATAGACCCAATCGGGTCTCCACTTTCGCGGGAACTTGAAGCGGTAGCTATGGTGCGGGTTCACCACATGAACCCCGAGATCGTCTCCGTTGTTATGATCGTCGAATCTGCTGCAGTGCACTGTCAGCTGCCGCCCTCCGCCCACCTCGTTCGTGATCGCCACCTTCGTTCTAGTGCCCGGTACCCACCACGTCTCAGTCGTCGCCATTAGTACTGTCGACAAGAGGATGAGGGACACCACCGCTGAAATTATTTTGTTCCGCTGCCTCATCGTTGTTACTTCTCCAAGTTAGATCATGTTTTGTTGTTGGATTTACTGCTGATGGCTGGCTGGAGGTTTTGTTATGATGCTGTATATATATTATATAGTCAGGAGGGTGTTCATCTGATGAGTCATTTTCTGTCGTAACATCAGATGCAAAAATATAGCGAGTCAAAAAGATTTGATTTGTTGAATCTATTAATGGATAGAGCAAGATAACAACCAACCCAAAATTGCACAGGTATAGATAGTGATGATGATTGGTTAATGATGAGAGCATTGTGGAGAACCAAGTTTACTAATTCTTTTTCCAACTTTTGGAAATATCCAGGGTGATAACACTTATGTATATACTAGCTTATTACCCGGCCCGTTGGCCGGATTACTGTATGTTACCCACTTGTGGAATGGGAGAGAAAGCAAGTGAGAGTGAAGGGATTGAGATTCCACTTGATTAGGACCGACCCACTAATCCGATTCTTCCCGACCAGCCCCAACCTAAAGGGTCAGAAAGAGTCAATAAGAAAATACGAATGAAGAGGATTAGTCATATATCTTGACTCTTCAGAAGTTGTTCAAACATGATCAAGGTTGGGTGAGGGCAATTTTTAGCGCTAAGCAGAGTTCTGGGTTGAATAACTTTACTTAGGCCTAGAAATTGGTGCTGATGCAGACTGCAGTTTTTATTATACCATCATCAATCATCATTGAATTAGTCCTAGGCATCCCTCCCCGTTGTCGGTCTGAAATCTAATGATGGTTTCATTCCTTGCACCAGCCATATCAGCGAGTTGTCATCTCGAGCATGATTTGCCTATGTACAAATGATACAATTAGAGTATGAAACTGAATTCAAAGAAAAGGAAAAGAGAATTCTATCACATGCCAATAAATACACACATAATAGTTGAAGCTAAGTGAAAGTCATTACTCGCACATCAATTCTCAAAAATTAAAGACTAAACAATGGCTAGAATGGCACTGAAAACTACCAAGAATCATGGACGAAACAACTTGTCAAATTAAATAATCCTTATATTGAAACTACCTTCTAACTTGAAATAAGACATGATCACAGTTCATAGCACTCTTAAGTCTTATCACTATGCCAAATTCTAATTATTCTTTACTTTTAAACTTTCTATTTGAAAATAAAAAATAGTGAAAGAAAAGAGACGACTACAATTCGCCATTTGCACATCACTTATTCGGGAATAAAATCATAGAAATTCAAAAGAAACGGAAAATGTTTAGAATCGTTTTAATGTTTAAAATAACCAAATAGATCTTTATGTTTAGTTTTTTACTAACAAATATCAAACGATTCCCTATAAAATACACTATAATTTGATCATTATGATGTCAAATAATTATAAAATATATATTTGAAATGATAAAAATTGGACTAATTGGGTTGGTCGAGGTTGAACCATTGAATAACTTTAAAATACATTATATTTTAGCCACTAAGATATAAAATAATAGCATAATATATATTATGCTAGAGAAAATAGCTTGTTTTAGAATGGCAAACCAATGATGTTCATTTGTTTTACTTGATGGCCAAATCCCATGTAGCTAGGCCATGCCCATTCAACTCTTCTATTTTATGGTTAGCGGTTAGCCCATTAGATACAATGCATTAGTTTATTGTTAAATTTTTTATTTTTAACAATAAAAAGGAGTATTATTTTTGTCTTTTCATATATATTTTATCACCACAGAGAAATAAAAGGGTAGAAAGAAAAAATTTGACACTCCTGGACCCATTTAAATCCGCATGTGTACGGTAAGTTGGCCCGTTCCACAGAGGAAAGAGAAAAAAATTGAAACTCCCTATTCTACCCTTCCTACAAGCGCTCCTGGAGCAGGGAATTTGAAATGGGGGAAGAGTTTTTTCCACCCTGCTATTATATGTTTTTAATTTAAAAGGATACAACAAATGTACTTAGTGGGATTGGTTATGATCCTTGCCTTTCTTTAAAATGGTAATGGTTTGAATCCCAGTATGTATCTTTTTAATGAATAAAAAAAATAATTGTGAAGACCAAAATGTCCTTTCTTCTTTCACTCTCGTTGCAGGAAATTAGAGTGCTAACTTATTATGTTTTAGTCAAAACTTTAACGTTTGTGACAATAATAGACCTTTTTTACGAAATACCAAATATAGCCAAAATTTTGAAAGTTTGATGACAAATATAGTCATTTCCATTACATATCTTAACGACGTCACTCACACCGTTTGTCAAATTAACGGAATGCTTACATGGCTGCCAACTCAACCGTCACATCATCGCCAACTCAACAACACTTGCCACATGAATGCCATGTCATATTTTAATTTAAAAATAAATAAATAAAATCATTAATATTTTCTCATTCTCTCTCCTCTCCCACCACTCATGCCGTCGGTCCTCTCTATCAAACCATCATCGCCGTCTTCTGCAACTCGACGGAGATGGGTTCCTGCAGTTTCGCTTAAACCCTTTTTGCTCCAAAACTCAACCAATCGGAGAATCCCCAGAGACGGAGATGGGGAACTCGACGGCGGTGGATTCCCACAGTTTGTCGCCGATTTGTCTTCTCCGTCGGCGGTCGACCTTAAGGGTGCGACCGGCCATCTATGCGGTCATCTATTGAGCCGCCGCTTCGTTGCCTCCAAAATCCCTAAATCAATCGAGGCTTTCCCTGATTCGACGAACCTATCTTCAAGCATCACCTTCTAGAGAGCTGCCTTCTTAAGCGAAGCTTCCTCGTTGCTCTAGATTTCTCGATCGAGCGGAGGTTGACGATGGAGGGAAATGAATTGGAAATCGTTGAATGAGGTGGGTTGAGGCACGACAGAAATTACTTTCCCCTTTCTTTCTCCACCTCTCACCACCCGTAGCCGTCGTCAGTATGTTTGCTGTCAAAGGGGTGACGATTGTGAGAAATAGAAAGATACAGAGGTGGCGACTCTGATGTCGTCTTTGCCCCCTCC